TCTGCTAAACCTAAATATAAACTAACAGGCCTAAAAAATATTAGCTAAGACCTTGAGAATAGGTCTTGGTCCTAGAGAATAGGGCTTATGACAGTGCTTAACAATCTCCACCTTGTCATAAGATTTCCAAGTTGATAGTGAATTTGGTTGCTACCACATCAACACACTACTCCTTCCTTCCGACGTTGATGAGATCCAAACAATGGCAGAACTTTTCACGAGCGACCACCTTTGTCAACATATCAGCAGCATATAAGAGCAAGTAGATAAACGATCCATCATCGAGACATCGATAATACACACAATGGTCAAATTGACTATGAGTATACATATGCTCTACCATGAAATGATCAAACCTTTTATACCATTGGCGAGGGGATTGCTTCAGCCCATACAAAGATTTCTTCAATCTGCATACTAAATGTTGCTGTCCAACTACTCGGAAACCAACTGGTTGCGTCATATATATTTCTTCTTCCAAATCTCCATGCAAAAAAGCAGTTTTTACATCGAGTTGTGCAAGCTCAAGATTAAATTGAGCAACCAAAGCCAACAAAATTCGAATCGAAGAATGTTTTACCACAGGTGAGAAAATTTCATTGTAATCAATACCTTCCTTTTGTGCGTAGCCTTTAGCCACAAGTCGAGCCTTATAACGTATACCAAAAGGGTCTTCCTTTTTTGCAAAAACCCATTTACAACCAATTTCCTTCTTACCTTTTGGAAGTTGTACCAAATCCCAAGTTTGATTTATCTCCAATGATGCTATCTCCTGATTCACAGCCTCTTGCCAGTGTAAGCTATCCGGGCTCTGAATAGCATCTTTGTAACTGTTAGGAACTTCATCAATCAAAGAGAAAGCATATGCTATCGTATCATCAAACTTTGCAGGTTTTCGAATTACCCTTCGTGGTCTATTCTTGGCGATTGACTCAGGTTCCTCCACTCTTTCATTTACAAGGCTTTGCTCCTCAAGACTTTGCTCTTTCTGTTCTAAGACATCAAAGTTATTATTTACCTGGTCAATAGGTTCTTCAGTAGGAGCAACCACATCAGGAGAGAACACCACCTTCTCCACCTGCTTCAATGCCTCGTCATTATTTTCAATTTTCTGCAAAAACATTCCAGACTCATCGAATGTCACATCTCGACTATTCACAATCTTACTTGTTTCTGACACCATAACCTATAGTCCTTCACACCTTTGCTAAAGCCCATAAACTTGGCTTTTTCCTTTGCTAAAGCCCATAAACTTGGCTTTTTTTGCTCTAGGATCCAGCTTTGAGTCTGTCACATGATAATAAGCAGGACACCCAAACACATGCAATTTATCATAATCACTAACAGGACTACCTGACCATACCTCAAGCGGAGTTCTCCCACCGTTTCCAGAAACAGGTAAACGATTCACCAAGTGAACTGCATAACTGAGAGCCTCAGCCCAAAATGCCTTACTCAATCCTGCTTGAGACAATATGCATCGAACCTTCTCTATTAATGTCTGGTTCATTCTCTCAGCAACTCCATTTTGTTGTGGCTTACCAGGAACAGTGAAGTGTCGAACGATCCCTTCATCTCGGCATACTTTAAGGAATGGATCATAAGTATATTCTCCTCCGTTGTCTGATCTCAGCCTTTTGATTTTCCTGTCCGTCTGATTCTCTACCATTTTCTTCCACTCTAGGAAGATTTGGAGAACCTCGTTTTTGTGCCTCATGGGATACATCCAAACTCTCTTCGAGTAGTCATCAATAAAGGTGACGAACCACCTCTTTCCTCCCAATGAGACATTCTTTGTGGGACCCCATACATCAGTGTGAACATAATCCAAAATGCCCTTTGTTTGGTGTATAGTTGTACCAAACTTCACATTTTTTTGTTTGCCAAATATACAATGTTCACAGAAATCAATTCTTCCAGTTGTGGCACCCTTAAGGACTCCTTGTTTCACCAGTGTCTGAAGCGCCTTCTCACCAGCATGCCCGAGTCGCATGTGCCATAATTTCGATATGTCTTGTTCTTTCGAACTTGCCACAGCAGCATGCCCAATTATTGTGGTTCCGTTGAGGTAGTATATGCTACCTCTTCTAGTTCCTGTAATTGCCACCAAAGCTCCACAAGCTACTTTCAAATTCCCTCCTTCCAAAATGATGCGATAACCACTCGCATCCAAAACGCCAAGTGAAATCAAATTTTTCTTCAAGTCAAGGACATACCTCACATCTTTGAGTTTTCGTATAGCCCCATCAAACATCTTGATTTGTACTGAGCCGATTCCCATTATCTTACAAGTACTATCATTTCCCATATAGACAACTCCACCATTGAACTCTTTGAAGTCCAAAGACATCTCTTTGTTGGGACACATATGATAGGAGCACCCAGAATCAAGAATCCATTCACTGGTTTGGCTGACTGATAGGGAGATTGTCAAGGCATCATCTGTATCAGTGTCGTCATCTCTAACCACATTGGACTTCGACCCCTTCTCTTTTAAGATCGAACAATCTTTTTTCCAATGGCCTTTCTGTCGACAATATGCACACTCATTTTTATCAAGTTTTCTCCAATTATCAGATCTACCTCTCGACTTTAATCGAGACTCTCCACATTCGTTCTTTTTCCAATTGGAAGTCCTTCCATGAGCAGTGAGAACATTTGAGCTAGAGCTTTGATACGTCTCCTTTTCCTTCTTTCGCATCTCATTGTTTATTAAGGCATTTGAAACATCTTCAAAATCAATATTAGTGATTCCATGTAGTAGGGTCGTTACTAAAAACTCGTAGGATTCCGGCAAAGAGTTTAATAACAACAACGCCTTGTCCTCGTCATCAATCTTAACATCAAGATTGAGCAAATCAGTGATGATTTTGTTAAAATCATCCAAATGCTCAGCCATTGAGATGCCTTCCTTGTAATCAAAACGGAAGAGTTTCTTCTTCAAATAGAGTTTATTTTCCACACTCTTCTTCATATATTTCGCTTCAAGCTTGTCCCATAATTCTTTCGCCATGGTAACCTTCATAAATGGATATTTCTGATCCTTGCCAAGACAGGATCGAATAATTCCACAGGCTTGCCGATTTAATTTCGTCCATTCTGCTTCTGTCATGTCTTCAGGCATTTCCTCTTGGAGAGAGACATCGAGGTCTTGCATGACCAACAAATCGCTAACTTCGCCTCGCCAAACACCAAAATTATTGGTTCCATCAAATTTCTCTACTTCGAGATTGGAACTCCACACTCTCGATCCACGTCGTGATGGTTCTGCCATTTGCAATAATTAATCTGGATGAAACTCAAAACCACAATTCTTGAAAATTGATTTTCAAGAGAATAAACACGATTGTGAGCACGTCTAATGGTCGATGAGGCCCAAGCTTTCACAATACCCCAAAATACCACAACTTGGCTTTGATACCACTTGTTGTGCGCCGAAAGCGGAACAAATGTACTCACAACACCAAATTTACTCAAGGCATACAATATTGCACACAAAGCTTGATTATTTCAACAGAAGAAAGAATGGCATTATATAGCCTTCTGCTAAACCTAAATATAAACTAACAGGCCTAAAAAATATTAGCTAAGACCTTGAGAATAGGTCTTGGTCCTAGAGAATAAAGCTTATGACAGTGTTTAACGAGGTTGCCGGAGCTAATAACATAGATCTGCTTCATCCATGAGTTTTCATTTTTGTTTTTTTTTTTAATTAAAATTTTCTTCCCATTTTGGAGTTTGAGGCAGTTGCAATTTTTTTAGTCAAATTAATTGAACTATATTGTTGTTTGGCAGCTCAACCATGCCTGTAACTTCAACAGTACAGACACCCGAGTTGTTTAAAGGTAGCCTTAAAGCATATCAGCTAAAAGGTCTCCAATGGTTGGTCAATTGTTATGAGCAGGTTGTATGAAGTTCCTGTTAAATGATTATCTTGGATTCTTTTTTGTTGTTGTTAAAAAGTTAAGCTGTAGTGGCATGGTTATCTACAGGGTTTAAATGGTATACTTGCTGATGAAATGGGGCTTGGAAAGACCATTCAGGCAATGGTATTTTTGGCTCATTTGGCTGAGGTAATGATCATACTAAGTTCTTTACTTTAAGTGTTATTTCTTTCTTCGTATTGACTATGATCACTCTCTTGTATCAGGATAAAAATATATGGGGGCCTTTTCTCGTTGTTGCACCTGCGGCTGTCTTGAACAATTGGGTCGATGAAATCAATCGTTTCTGTCCTGACGCCTGTTCTTTTCTTCCTTCCCCCCCCCCCCCCCCCCCCCCCCCCCNCATCTTATTTTTTTCTTGTTGTTTGTTTTCTTTCTTTATCTATCTGGGATGCTGGTTTTCACATCCTCGTTACCAACTATCAGCTACTTGTTGCTGACGAAAAGTATTTTCGGCGTGTTAAGTGGCAATATATGGTATTGGATGAGGCACAGGCAATCAAAAGTTCTACGAGGTTTGTTCCGATTTAGAACCAGTTGGATCAGGATAGGGTGCTATGCTTTTGTTAACATAAAATCGTCTTGCTCGTGCCATGAGTGTTTTAGTAAACAACCAAACAGTTGAATGGTATTAGTCAGCAGAAGCACCACAATTATGACCGTTGTTTTGGCTCTACAGTAATGTGTTATTTTGTTTTCATTAAATTGCAGCATAAGGTGGAAAACACTGCTAAGCTTTAATTGTCAGAACCGCTTGCTGCTTACTGGGACACCCACATTGGATGGGACGTTGGGCCCCGAAAAGGGGTGGATTGTGAGATTTCACATTGGATGGGAGGAGAACAAAACATTCTTTACATGAATGTAGAAACTTTTCCCCAGCAGACGTGTTTTAAAAACCTTGAGGAGAAGCCTGAATGGGAAAGTCCAAAAAGAACAATATCTGCTAGCGGTGGACTTGGGCCGTTACAACAAATGAGTGTAGAATTGCTTGCTTCATTTTTTGTGTGGCCTATGTTATATATTCATCATATCTCAGACTAACTTACAAGAATGTTTTGAGGCTTTAATCTTTCCTCAACAGGAGAGGCTTCAGTCCAACGTTGGGCTTCTTCACACAGCATACACGTTTATTCCAAGGATTCGAGCTCCACCGGTATATTTTTTTTCAAGAAACTAAAACTCGGTGAAATGGTTTTTATCATTTGATGTACTTATTTAATGCTTCGTCGCTGCATCTATTTTGCAGATAGGTATTCACTGCTAAGATAGAAGCTTTACTTACCAAACGGTTGAACAATTGCATGACCCTTGGGTCTGACTTTAACGGACCAGGGAAGCCAAACGAACCCCATCCTTTGATTCAAGAGATTGATTCTGAAATACCAGTTTCCCAGCCTGCTCTTCAGTTGACGTACAGTATTTTCGGGTCCTCCCCTCCAATGCAAAGTTTTGATCCAGCAAAGTTGCTCACGGTTGGTGTTTTTTTCCTACTCATTTTACATTTGACTTCAAGGAATCTTTATATTTTGAAGTAAGGTTCTGTAACGAATTTATGTTAATTTTATATAGGACTCTGGGAAGCTACAAACACTCGATATACTACTGAAACACTTGCGAGCCGAAAATCATCGTGTACTCCTGTTTGCTCAAATGACAAAAATGTTGAATATTCTTGAGGTATTCATTCTTCGTCGGTATTGTTCTTGGCTACTTGAAACTTTAAAACAAGACAATACCTTTTTATAAGCGCCTCAACATTATTGTTTAACTAGGTTTCTGGAGTTCTTGGTTGTTTTTCACAGAATTTCGTGAGAGGAAATTGGTTGTTGGAAGAAAATGCTTAACAAAAAGGAGAGAGAAAATTAACTGAATTCTGACTGAGTTCCGATTTATTTTATTTTCTGAACAAATCTCCTATTTAAAATAAAAATCATTCTAAAAATGGCTGGAGAGTGGCCAACTAAATCTGTGCCACTCCTACAAAATTTCAGTCTAAAATTCTGCTGATTCATTCGACGTGTTTTGTCAAATGGTCAAACTGGCGATTTTCTGAAATCGTGTGAATAAGAAAAAACGGTAAAACTCAGGTTTTATCTAACAATCTCCTCCTAAAACCTATAGTATATCTACCTTACTATTTGAACTCCGATCTTTGAGCGTAGTTCTTCAAATTTCACCCGCGTCAGGGACTTGGTGAAGATGTCTCCAAGTTGTTCCTCTGTTCGGATGTAATCAATTTTGATGAGCCCTCGATCTGCACATTCTCGAATGTAGTGGAATCTGATTTCTATGTGCTTGCTTCGTTCATGCAAAACTGGATTTTTGATCAGGGAGATCGTAGCTTTGTTGTCTACGTATAGCATTGGTGGATCACTTTCTCTCCCGATGAGTTCTTCCATTAGTCGCGCAAGCCAGATCCCTTGTGTTGCTGCCATCGAAGCGGCGATGTATTCTGCTTCACAGGAAGACAAAGCAACTACCTTCTGTTTTGTTGATTGCCAGCAGATTGCGCCGCCTGAGAGAAAGTAGATCATTTCGCTAGTGCTCTTACGATCATCAACGTCACCGGCCATGTCACTATCACTGTAGCCAACTAGTTTGAGTTTCTCCTTTCCGCTCCCTGCGCAGTATCTTACACCCCAGCCTCTGGTTCCGGCTACATAGCGCAGGATGCGCTTGACAGCCACTAAATGCTCCTCCTTAGGTGCTTCCATAAACCGGCTCACATATCCAACAGAATAAGCAAGATCAGGACGAGAGTTTACCAGATAGCGCAAACTCCCGACAATGTTGCGGTAATTGGTGGAGTCGACTGTCGTCGTAGTGCCAGCCTTCCTTAGTTGGAGTCGGGCCTCCATTGGCGTCCTTGTAGGATTACTGTCCACAAGTCCAGTTGTGTCCAGCAGCTTCTTTGCGTATGCACTTTGGCAGATGGAGATGCCGGTAGAATTCTGTTGCACTTCGATGCCGAGATAGTAGCTGAGCACGCCGAGATCGCTCATCTCGAAGTTTTTCGACATCTCCTTCTTGATCCTTCCGAGGACTTCCATGTCACCTCCAGTGATTATGAGGTCGTCGACGTACACTCCCACGATTAGTCGCTTCTTGTCATGGCCGTGCGTGTACATGCCATGCTCAGAGGCGCAACGTTTGAATTTCAGTGACAGTAAGGTACTGTCGAGCTTCGCGTTCCAGGCTCGTGGAGCTTGTCGAAGCCCGTAGAGTGCCTTGTGCAAGCGCAATACTTTATTGGGGTTGTTGTTATCCAGGAAGCCAGGTGGTTGTCGGACATAAACAGTCTCCTTCAGCTCTCCGTTAAGGAAAGCAAACTTTACGTCCATATGGTGAACCTCCCACGAGTAATGTGCTGCAATTGCAAGTAAGAAACGAACGGATTTTAACCTTGCCACTGGCGTAAATACCTCTTCGAAGTCCACTCCTTGCTTCTGGACGTAGCCCTTCGCCACCAGACGGGCCTTGTGCTTCACAACTTCTCCTTTTTCGTTGCGCTTTAGTTTGAAGACCCATTTGAGCCCTATGGTTTGGTGTCCCGGCGGCATATCCTCCAGACTTCACGTCTGATTTTCGGTGATGGATGTCATCTCCTCCTACATTGCCTTCAGCCAGCACGGGTTCTTTTCTGCTTCGGCGAAGGTGTTCGGTTCATCTGCACTGATGGCATGTAGTTCGGCCACTTCTTCGAGCTCGCGCACTGCCAGTCCAGGTGGTTCACCTCCTCCTACTAGGTCGTCCATCCTCCGGTACCTGGCCTCCAGATCAGTATCGTGATCGGCATCCAACGTCGAATCCGCAGTCCGTGGTGTTGCGAATTCCACTGGTTCAGGGGTTGCACCTGCTGGCGGCGGTGACGGCTGCTGATGCTGGGCTCCTTCTTCCGGCTCGGTGACGAGGTACTTCACCGTAAATTGATTTGGATTATGGTCTGCCTCGATCACGTCATTCCACTGCCAGAAGGTGCTTTCGTCGAAGACGACGTCGCGAGACACGTGAGCTCGCCCCCCTATAGGATCATATAGTCTGTACGCCTTGCTCCCGGGTTCATAGCCGATAAAAACGATCTTCAGCCCCCTAGGATCGAGTTTGGCGGGGTGGGGACGTGTTAACTTCATGTATGCGACGCAGCTGAACACGCGAAAATGATGTACCGCTGGTTTTTTGTTGTACCATGCCTCATATGGTGTCTTCCCGTCAAGGCTTCGGGTTGGTGACCGATTGAGGAGATATACGGCCGTCATTACTGCCTCTCCCCAGAATCTCCCAGGCATCCCGGCCGTCACCAACAATGACCTTGCTGTCCCGACGATGGTCTGATTCCGGCGCTCCACCACTCCGTTCTGTTGGGGGGAGTAGGGCGTCGTTAGGTGCCGTTGTATGCCGATTTCGTCACAGTACTTACCGAAACTTGTCGAGGTGAATTCTCCGCCTCGGTCTGTGCGCAACACTCGCATCTTCTTCTCACATTCGGCCTCCGCTCGCGCTTTAATGCACTTAACTGCCTCTGCCGCCTCATGAAGCGGCTTTTGTCATCGACTAACAGGAGGAAGAGACTCTTACCGCCTGGGGTCGCTGGCTTGGCTTGATGGGCCCGCAGATATCGCCGTGTACAAGCTCCAACGGCTCATCGGCTCGATAGGATGTTCGAGACGGAAAGGGTGTGCGCCTCTGTTTGCCGATGAGGCACCCGTCGCACAGCTTGTTCACGCCTTTGATTGCTGGCAAACCGTGCACTAACTCCTCCTTCCGTAGTTTTTCTAGAGCAGGAAAGTTTAAATGCCCGTACCTTGCGTGCCACCTCCAAGATACCTCTTCGGTCTTGGCCGAGAGACTGACAGGTTGCTCTATCTCTAACTCCAGGATGTAAAGATGGTTTGTCGTGCGTCTTGCCTGTGTGAGCAGCCGTCGTTGATTATCGCAAATTTTGAGTAGTTCGCGCTCGATGGAGATGAAGCAGCCTCTCTCATCGAGTTGACCCAGGCTCACAAGGTTAGCCGTGAGCCTTGGGATGGAAGTAGACGTCGGTCAGCTTGCGATGCTCGCCTCCCTTGCTGGCGAACAGGATGGTGCCGCGTCCTTCGATCTCGACGACGGATCCGTCGCTGAATTTCACCATCCCGCGGATCCCCGAGTCGAGTTCGGAGAATGCAGATCTAGCCACGGTCATATGGTTTGTTGCCCCTGTGTCTAGGATCCATTGCTGGTCCTTGTGTTGCTCGCCCCGCTCGCTGATCTGAGCGAACACTCGCTCCTCCTCCAGTTGAATTGGCTCCCCCTCCTCCGTGTCCTTAAAAAAGTGGATCTTCGAGAGCTCCTTCCGCAACTGCTCAATGTTGGATTCCCACACTCGCTGTACCACCGCGGACCCAACGGGATTTGATTCCCTCCCAGGCCTCTCTGGGGGCACAGATCGTAATATGGCGGGCAGTCGTTGTCTCCCTAATCACGGCATCGGCGTGGAGCACGGTGAGCTTGGTGGAGAGAGATGCCAGCATCTCTGGGGGCACAGATCATAATATGGCGGGCAGTCGTTGTCTCCCTAATCACGGCATCGGCGTGGAGCACAGTGAGCTTGGTGGAGAGAGATGCCAGCATCTCTGGGGGCACAGATCGTAAAATATGGCGGGCAGTCGTTGTCTCCCTAATCACGGCATCGACGTGGAGGAGTGAGTGAGTGAGCCTGCCCGAGATGGGCCCCACGATGTGTATGTTTTTACACTTCACATTTTCTACTACTCGAACCTGAGACCTTTGTGATGTTAGGTCAAAGCTCTAACCACTTAAGCTATTCAACTTGTTTGTAGATAGATTGACTCCTCTGCAATGATATACACCGATCTTCAACTTGGCTAAAAAAGGAGAGAGAAAATTAACTGAATTCTGACTGCGTTTCGATTTATTTTATTTTCTGAACGAGTGGCCAACTAAATATGTGTCACTCCCTACAAAATTTCAGTCTAAAATTATGGTGATCCATTCGACCTGTTTTGTCAAACTGGCGATTTTCTGAAATCGTGTGAATAAGAAAAAACGGTAAAACTCAGGTTTTATCTAACATTCTTTTGCTCGCTTTTACAATTACAACATGTTTTTGCAGGATTACATGAATTATCGGAAGTATAAATACCTTAGACTCGATGGATCCTCCACTATAATGGATCGTCGAGATATGGTCGGGGAATTCCAACTTCGGTATGGACTCACTTGACGTCGAAATGATGGTTATTACATCGTTTTCTACTTTCAGAATCTGTTATTTTGTAATGCAATCATGTTTTTTTTTTTTTTTTTTTTTTTTTTTTTTTTTTTTTTTTTTTTTTTTTT